GGGGTGGGGGCGGTTTGGGGGCTGCTGGGGGGGGCATGGGGCCGGGCACCCTGCAGCCAGCCCCAGCACCCTCTCCCACCCCTGCAGAAGCTGGATTTCTACCAGAGCAGCCTCCAGCTCCCTGCACCGAAGTGGACGGAGCTGGCCACGCTCATCGCACAGTGCATGGACTACCAGCCCCGCCGCCGGCCCTGCTTCCGCGCCCTCATCCGGGACCTCAACAGCCTCATCACCTCCGGTGAGCCCCGGGACGGCGGGGTGGGGACGGCCTCCGGCCCCCCGGTGGGGACGGGCTCCGGACCCCCAGGGTGCTCTCACCGCCCGCTTTCCCCAGATTACGAGCTGCTCTCGGACCTGTCGCCCACCGATGTGACGCTCCGGGACAGCTTCTGGGGGTACGAGCCCCTCGCCATGTGCCAGGACCCCACGCACTTCGAGGAGCGGCACCTCAAGTACATCTCGCTGCTGGGCAAGGTGAGGGGGGGCAGAGGGGGCCCCGTCCCCCAAGACTTCAGTGCATGAGTTTCTTGCACACATGCTCCCCCCCTTACTTGCATTTGGGGCATGAAACATCCCTGGCTCCTGGGAGGATGCTTTGCCCTCCAAAGCTGAGAAACGCTTGGTTTGTGCCCGCGGCCTCACCTGTGCGTGGGATCTGGGGGGGGACCAGGTGCTGGGGGCACAGTGGGGGTCTCTGAGACACCCCCCCCGAGACACCCCAGCAGCCCACATCCCCACCCGGCTCTCCCCGGCCAGGGCAACTTTGGGAGCGTGGAGCTGTGCCGCTACGACCCGCTGGGCGACAGCACGGGCGAGCTGGTGGCGGTGAAGAAGCTGCAGCAGGATTCGGTCAAGGAGCTGCGGGATTTCGAGAGGGAGATCCAGATCCTGCACTCGCTGCAGCACGACTTCATCGTCCAGTACCGGGGCGTGTGCTACAGCCGGGGTGAGCACGGCGTGGGGCAGGGAGCGGGCAGGGAGCAATGCTGCCTGCACCCGGCTCCGGCTCTGCCCGCATCCCGGCCGGCGGGTGATGGATGTGTGTGCAGGGCGGCGCGGGCTGCGGCTGGTGATGGAGTACCTGCCCAACGGCTGCCTGCGGGACTACCTGCAGAAGAACCAGCCCCGCCTGGACCACAGGACGCTGCTCCTCTATGCCTGGCAGATCTGCAAGGTGGGACCGTTGGGGCTGGCGGCAAAGGGGGTCCTGCTCTCCTGCTGGGGGGACAGACAGGGAGGGAGCAATGCCATGGCTCACCCAGGGGGGTCACGGTCCAGCTGGGGTGAGCCCCTGGGGATGCTGCTGGGTCCCTGCCCCAGCGCGTGGCTGCATCCCGCACAGGGCATGGAGTACCTCGGGGCGCAGCGCTGCGTGCACCGGGACCTGGCCAGCAGGAACATCCTGGTGGAGAGTGAGACCCACGTCAAGATCGGGGATTTCGGGCTGGCCAAGCTGCTGCCACAGGACAAGGACTATTACGTGGTGCGGGAACCCGGTCAGAGCCCTGTCTTCTGGTAAGGGTGGCACCGGGGCGGGGGGGACATGGGGCTGCTGGCCCGGTCGGATCTGGTGGTCAGCTCCTTCCCGCCGGCAGGTACGCACCCGAGTCCCTGGCAGACAACATCTTCTCCCGGGCATCTGACATTTGGAGCTTCGGGGTCCTCCTCTACGAGCTCTTCACCTACAGCAACAAGAGCCCGGGAGAGGGCCCCCCCCCCCCCCGGGGCTGGGGTCCCGCTGCCCCACCCCGGACCCGTTACCTTTGGGATGAGCCGTGCTGACGGCTGTCCCCGTGCCCGTAGGAGTTCCTCCGCATGATGGGCACCGAGAAGACGGCACAGATCATCTGCCACTTGCTGGAGCTCCTGAAGGACAACCGACGTCTCCCGGTGCCGGCCGGCTGCCCCATGGAGGTGAGAGCCCTGCCCAAGCTGGCAGGGGTCCCGGGGGACAGTGGAGGTCCTGGGGGCCACCCTGCTCCCCTGACGGCCCCGTCCCTTGTCCCCAGGTCTACACGCTGATGCTGAGCTGCTGGGCCTTCACCTCCAGCACCAGGCCCACCTTTGGGGAGCTGGTCCCCAAGATCAAGGCGCTGCGGGACGGCCGGAGCAAAGCCCGCTGGTAGCCCACCCCGGCCGCCCACCCCCCCTCCCCAGCACCAGGCGGTGACAGACGGACACA